ACTGTATATGTGGTAAATGTTAAATATGAACAAGTTTTAACGAAGATCTTTGTAAACCAACAAAAATCAACACCTACAAAAGGATTTGAAGTGTATTTTTATTTTTTAGTTCTGTTGGTTTACATGGAGATGCAACTAAGGCCGGCGTCACACGAAAAGATAATCATGCCGATTTTTGCCCTTCCGACAATCTTAAGGAAGTCCAGATTATCTTGATGGCTCTAAAGATAATCATGGCAGATATTCCCGCCGTGGGTGGCAAGTTAAGAAGGATCTAGTCGGCTCGGAAGGATGTCGGGACGACTCCGACCTCAAATCTGGGATATTCAACATGTTTGATTTTTTTTGGCCCGAAATCACAGTGTGTGTAGTGTTCAACTGAGCTCTCAGCCTGTGAATGAGACATGTGGCCAATCAGAAAGTGAGGTGACGTAAACACGGAGGGGATTCCAAAATACAGAAGACAAAAAAACTTGTGACTCACCAGAAAGTCCGCTGGACGTTAAAAGTCCTATGGAATTGTTTTTCCTCTGGTGAAAATAGTCCAGAAACWATCAACATTGTTTCTTCCTTGTTGCAAATGTTTATTTACTCTGAACTCACGTCTCTCTGCAGGTCACGTGAGATTTTTCCTCTGACATTTGAAATCTTGCGAGATTTCAGGAAATCTCATGTGATTTAATATCGGACATCTGAATCATGAATGAAATATCTTTACGTGTGTGGTGTGTTGTCTCTTGCTGTGTGACTGTACACCACACACTGTAGGACCAAACCTGGTAGATCCATGATTTTTTATCCTCATGTGTGGGCTCTCTCAGTCTTTGAAAATCATCCGACTGTTTTAAAATCTTGCAGTTTGACGCCACCTTAAGTCTTCCTGTTGAAAAGGAGATTTGCCTTTCCACTGTCGCCAATGTGCTTGCTCAGTCTGGTATACTGTGATGAAGTGATTCAATGCAATCTGTTGGCTTCTTTAGACGTTTTTTTTTATACAGTGCCCTGAGGTAACATTTGTTGTGGCTTGGCGCTATAGCATAAACTGAATTGAATCCATAATTTAAATTCTCTTTTATAAGTTGTATATTCTTTTYATAATTTGGTTTGATGTATTCTTTTTTCAGATACTCAAAGCCCCCCTTCACGTCCAGATTCTCCTGAATCCACTGCGTCTGACTATCAGCCCCCGCCTAAAAGAAAGTATAACAATAAAAATAAGACAGTCACCTCTGCCACCAGCTACAGCAGAGGTTAGTACCATTTTTGAAAAGTTCTTTAGATTTATATAAAGATGTTAGATATACCAGTCAGATTAGGTCCTCATTCTTCATCATTGTCATTATTTTGCAATTTGTTTTTATATTCGTTTACAGAATCTTTAATAGAAAAGATCAAAGAGACAAGCAAAACAATTGAAGGTAATGTTAGAACTTTTCTGTAACATTTTTAAGATAAACACATTTTTGGTATTAAGTAAATGTTTTTATTTCAGATTTTTGCTTGTCTTGTGCGTCACCTGAGATTGATGTGCCACATCCGTTGTTTGAAGGTGGTTTGTGTCCTAAATGCAAGGTGATCTATAAAAACAAAAATCTATTTTTGTTGATGTGTCTACATGTCTAACCTTTACCTGAAACACAGCTTCAGTGGTGTATTTGTCTGAGAAAAGGCTGTGTTGCTGTTTGCAGGTGAACTTCTCAGAGACACTGTACCGATAYGATGACGATGGATATCAGTCATATTGTACCGTGTGCTGTGCAGGATCTGAGGTCATTCTGTGCAGCAATAACAGCTGCTGCAGGTAAATACTAATCTTTTTATGCATCTCTCCAAGTTTGGTGACATACTGTATGGCTGTTATTTGTTATTTGACTTTTTTAACATTGTTTCATTTATCATTCACCTGTTGTCTCATGTCAGGTAGATTAGATCCAGTCTCATTGTTCTGCAATGGATTCTTGTATAAAAAAACAAGTTAACTAAAACCAAACTAACATAAACCAAGCTTAGATTATGTATATTTGCCTACATTTTTCTTGGATAAATTAATTATCAAGCCTCAAGGAATGACGAACAAGCAGCAGATCTGGTTGAGCTCTCTTTACTTGCTGCAAGGAATTCATATACAGACAGACAAAGTACTATCCATACGATGCCACGAACATGAACTGAATTTCTGTAAAACAGTCAGGTTTTTAAAGGGTCCTCTTCAAAGGGGTTGAGTGTCCTCCTGTTATACAACCATGCAATCTCCTGTTCTCCCCAGGGGTTACCYCCCACCAGCTTAACAGCGGGTCTTAAAAGTAACTGAACTCTATAATCTAAGTTAGCAGTTTGGGAAGTCAAAGATCAACATCTGTGTCTTCACTCTAACAGCACAACTGAACACAAGCCATTTAGAGGTCATGGAAAAACAAAACACAGATCAGAAATTAATATATCTTGTAATTAAATGAACCATAATGTCTTAAAACACAATTTAACCAACAATCTTCATTACATTTTCCGGCAGATTGTTAGCAGTGACACTGTGTCTCTCTCTAACCCTAACTGTATGCCAGAGCACAGTGCGTCATACAGCTCTGGAAAAAATTAAGAAACCACTTTAAAATTATTACCTCTACCAGGGAGGAGGTAATGTTTTTGGTTGCGTCTGTCTGTCTGTCTGTCTGTCTGTCTGTCTGTCTGTCTGTCTGTCTGTCTGTCTGTC